CTTTGAAATCAAACCCATAAACTAAATCAGAATTTCTAAAAGCCAATGGGTTCATAAAACTGCTAACCCAAGGCTAAGTAGAATAAAATTAATTACATGGGATTGAGTAAACTGATAAAGAATGACTATAACTTTTTATATACTTTGTTTGAAATTCTGCTGGCTCTTAAATGCTCTCTTTTCCAGATGTAAGAAAATCCTGTTCTGTTTCCTCTTCAGCTATCTACGATTCATAAAATCTAGTAAAATTTACTTTTCTAAACAAAGTTAAAACATTTAGCTGTTGCTCCCTGCCTAATCCCTTAAAAAATTGGAAACTTTGATGGAGTACTCTCCTTTTCATAGCGATATAGTTATTTGTTCATTGTTTTTGAGGTTTTGTTTAATAAGAATCTGTTCTATTTGCCATAGGTTATAATTGAAAACACCAGTCATATTATGAACGCTTTGACTGGAAACGATGCATACAATCAGATATGACCAGACAATTTCAAGGAACTACGGTTGACTCTTTAGAGAGCCAAGGCTTACAAAGCCCTCTTGAAAAAACTGGCCTGGTATCTGGCTTAGAGTTCACAGACTTAGGTAAGTAAGGGAACTTCCTGGACAGTCCAGGAAGTTCGGGATATTTTGAGAAGAGAGGAGTTCCAGACTGCTTTCTGCTTCCCAAGTTCTCTTTCCCATAAAAGCTCTTATCCCACTGACGTGTAGTCATGACAGGGACTTTCTCTGGATTCTGGGAGGTAGCCCTGACTCCTTACAATAACTTCCCTTTATCTGGGCTCCTCTGAGTGGCTTTCTGCTTCTTGCATCCCAATGAACGCCAAGCTAAAAGGCCACGAGTCTCTTAGTTAGGGGGGTAGCACCGGTCAGGAATGGGTGGGAAGGTGGTTCTCGCTTACAAACAGCTGGCAGTAGACAGTCCCTTCATTGTGAGAGCCAGGGCCGTGGGGACATCTGTGATGTGGGCAGAGCTCTGCCATGTGTTTCTTTTCCCATGTGCCCTGCAGGAAAAGGGGTGTGCAGGCTCTGCCAAATGTTGAATGTGCAGCCTTCTCCTCAGAATCTACCTGGGTTGGTTTCGGCCCACACCCCTCATCTTACCTTCTACTTGTTAAAAGGGGATGCAAGCACGTTCTCTCATCTAACCTTTCACCGGCAGATCACTGCTTCTGGCACACAGCTTGCTTTTCCAGCAAGGCTGTGCATTCTGAAGGCAAAAATACACTCTCAGCTATATTTAATTCCTTCCCATTAAACCATCGTTTATGGGTATAGAACAGCTACTTGTGGAACGGATGTTTATATCTCAGGGCTTACAATTTCTTTCCATATTTGAGAAAGTGAAGAAGGGAAGACAATACCTTGTTCAAAAGCTCTGCTCAAATTGTCAGTCAGTTCTTTCTGTTTAGCTGCAAGAGAAAACCATGATCTTAATTTTTCTATTTAAATAGGCTCACTATTTAAGACATTGGCTACATTCCAGAGAGAGAGGGATGTTACAGGTCTAACCTCCAGACAAAATTGGTTTCAGTATACCCAAGAAGAAGAAGAAGAAAAAAAGAATCCCTGAATCATTTATATTCATTTTTCACTTAACCCGGAAATGAAGTGAAAATAGCAATAACATGCATTTGGTGGTATTTCATCTCTTACCTCTGACAACAGATTCAAACTCGTTAATGGCAGCTTCACTTTCAGCTTCTGCGAGTTTTTCATTGATATCCATTATTTCCATGAGGAATTGATTGTCCATTTTATAATCTGTTCCTTCAGGAATCTCTATTCCATGGAGCTTTAGCTATTGGGGCATAAAGCAGGCGAAATAAGTATTCTTCCAGAGATGATGGCCAACAGCATAAATCCTACTCACCCTTCTGAACAGAACACCACCCAGGGAGAACTTGGGCTTTCCTAGCAAAGAACGTGTGAGGGCAGCGTGCTGGAAACCCAGCTGCGGAAGGAATGCTTGGATGGGATCCTTTTCTGCTACTTAGAAGTGTGTGACCCTGGAGGAGTCACTCCTGCACTTGTGAGTTTGAACTAAATACCGTGTTTCCCCGAAAATAAGACATCCTCCGAAAATAAGACCTAGCGCAACGTTGGGAGAAAAAATTAATATAAGACACTGTCTTATTTTCGGGGAAACAGGGTACTTGTAAAGATTTTATGAAATCCTGCCGAAATCGGTCTGGCTCAGTGGATAGAGCGTCGGCCTTTGGACCGAAAGGTCCCAGGTTCGATTCTGGTCAAGGGCATGTACCTTGGTTGTGGGCACATTCCCAGTTGGGAATGTGCAGGAGGCGGCTGATTGATGTTTCTAACTTTCTATCCCTCTCGCTTCCTCCCTGTAAAAATCAATAAGGTATATTAAAAAAAAAAAAAAAAGATTCTATGAAATCCTAATATTCGAAGGTATGCACCTCTGCCCTTCCTTCAACACCCCCAAATTTCTTTCCTAACAGCCATCATCATCCAACCCTTGAAATTTATAGAAAATATTTTGTGTGTATTTTTTTTTAGTGCAATTGGGCAAGTAAGATTTACAGGTAATAGCCAGAGAAAACTATTCTCCTGCAGTATCTTTGGGTCCGAGGACCGGCTCAGGGCTCAAGCAATGAACGCCAGGGAAGTCACACACGCAAGGGTTGGAACATCACCTTACAAGGTACAGTCCCCTGCTCAGCGGGGCCAGAAGGGTCTTGTAGGCGTCATTCACCAGGGTCGAATGCTTCTCGGAGAAGTCCTTTTCTGTCTGTGGGTGGAGAATAAGAAAGTCTTATTATTATCATCTGAGTCAGCCATCTTCCAACAACAAACCCTTTCATAAAGTACCGATGGGCAGGAACCTAAGGACATGGCCGAAGTGGAACTGCAGGATGAGCTATAGTTATTTCCAACTGATGGTTGTAATTTGGCAGAACAGGCCCAGGGCCTGGCAGGCTAGGGTCTGGCTGTCACCGGGTGGAGCCAGCTGTCCAGCTCTGTCCCTGATAACCCATCACCACAAGGCCACCGCCACCCACCCAGAATGCACACGTGTTTGGGTGTGATTAAGCGGGGCCCACAATCTACCTGAGACCTCTGGCCGAAAAAGTCTGGGTGGACAAGACGCTGTAGTTGCTGGAACCGATGCTGGAGCTTTGCGGTATCCACATTGAAGGAACGTTTGCTTTAAGGAAATAGGGAGATGGAATTCATGCATCAAATATTAATAGACTTGTGTACCACAGGCCTGGTTCCCGTCCCCAGGGAGGAACAGGCGATAAACAGGCAACAGGGAGAAGCTCCAAAAGTGGTAGCTTCTGGGAAGAGAAAACAGAACAGGACAGAGAGAGGGGCAGATGTGGTGGACAATGAACTGCATTGGAGCTTCGACCTGAATGATGACGATGAGTAATCAACAATCCTAGGAAAGGCTTCAACACTGCATTAGGTTTGCCTATCTCTTGCGTCTCCTTTACTCCCTGTCCGTTTTCTTCCTAGTTAATTAAGGAAGAAAGTGGAGGAAACATGCTAGTTTGGCCCCCTTGAGGAACTTAAAAAGGTTACTTTGGTTCCTGCGGCCCATCACCAGTGCTCAATGACTGGCTGGACGGATAATTAGATCTCAGTGCTTATAATTTATCCGTGGCCCAGAGTTAAGGGGAAGGGGAATGGGCGGATCCCACCCCATCTTTGCAAGGATGATGGTCCCTTCATCTCAGTCAACCACCTTGTGTTTTGTTTTTTAGTTTTTAAATATGTTTTACAGAGAGGAAGAGAGAGAGAGAGACAGAGAATAAGAAATATGGAGGAGAAACATCGATCAGTTGCCTCTTGCACACTCCCTACTGGGGGTGTGCCGGCAATCAAGGTACATGCCCTTGACCGGAATCAAACCTGGGACCCTTCAGTCCGCAGGCCGCCGCTCTATCCACTGAGCCAAACCGGTTAGGGCCCCCACCTTGTTTTAACCCAATCCCCTTTGCTTCCTATTCCCACATCCTGCCCTATGGTCAGTTCAGCTCCGCCCAAACTTCACCACCTCTCAACCTTCCGAAGAAAACAGGAAAAAACACCCATTTCTCAGATCCTCTCCCTCTCCAATTCTCCCTTTTCCCTTAGACTCCGCCCACAATACATTTCCCCCCATTCCCCCCGGTTTTACTCCCTTATCTTGGGTAACACCCCAGTATTCCTTTCTTAAAAGTTTCAACCCAAATTCAATCGTTCTGATCTCATCCCTCCAGTCTCCTTTTATAAGGCCCCTCAAGGAACCCTTCCCCCAGGCCCCGCCCCTCCAGTCGGCCTCAGGCCACTCAATCTCCCCCTAACTTTATTCCCCACCCCTCCAGTGTTCCCTTCACCGATGTCTCCATCCCTTAAAGCCCTGTTTATTTCCTTTATTATTTTTTTATTAAATTATTATCTGTGTACATATCTTACCATGGCCCCCCCCCCCCCCATACGTGTCCTCCCTCCCCAGAGTTTTGTGTCCATGCCTTAAAGCCCTTCCCCCAGGCCTGCTCCCTAGTTCCCTCTTTTCCGGTCACACCCCATCCTCCAGGTCCCCAGGCCCCATCACGCGGTCTCTAGGGTTCCGCCCACCCACCTAACCGGTCCCACCTTCTTCTCTCCCCAGATCGTCCCGAAGCCGCCTCCCGTACCAGTCCATGAGGCTGAAGTGGTCTCTGGTGGGGTCAGGTGGCTGCAGCGCCCGGCACTGGGGGCAGAAGAACCCGTCCTCCCGGATGGGGCCCCCCGGGCCGCCGCAGTTCCAACACTGGGGGGAGCTGCTTCCTGCGAGCGACGGAGCATTGCAGCTCAGCGGTCTCCTTCCGAGGAGCCCGGCCGGCCACCACCCCAACACCCGGGGCAAGGCCCCGGTCCTCCCGCCCCACATCTGGCCCGCGGCGGCGGCGTAACCTGTCCGGGGGTCAAACCGGCCAGAGCCGCGGACAAGACTAGGCTGCTGATTGGCTGGAGGACTGAAGGGGCGGGATCACTCCGGGAAAACTTGGAGTCCGAGTCCCGCTTTACGGCTTAAACTACAACTCCCAGCAAGCAGCGAGGCCACCCTGGGACGGCCACTTCCGCCGCTCCTCATTGGTCCGGCCGAGGCGGAAGGGTGTTTTGATTGGTCGAGGGTGGAGTTTGTATCTGTTGAGCGCCACGCCACGAGCTGCAGCTGTAGTGAGTGTGTGTGGCTCCAGGTGGGCTCACGCGGTGAGTGTCCGTGGGGGGAACGTCCCTTGTGTGTCTGGGGGTTCGAATCCCGTCCTTAGTGTCTTAATGCGAGCTGAATTTCCCGAGCTTCTGAGTGTCTTTTTTTTTTTTTTTTTAACCTCTGGCCGGGAGGGGGGGTGGGGAGGAGGAGAGGAATACGCGTGGGCGACTCTCTTCCTTTTTTGCAGATGAACTTGTCGATGAACTTCCAGGTGAAGTTCATTTCCCGTTTGCTTACAGGCTGGAACTGGCTCAGACTTGCAGGCTAAGCAGCAACAAAGCTGAGTTCTTTCTATAAGTGTTAATAATTATTACCGTACTTTAGGTTCAATATCGAAAATAACTGTTGAGAACCCACAGGTATTTTCTTAGCTGCTGCGCATTGCAGGAACTGGAAACACAGATCCTGTGCTGGAGGATTCCCGGCAAAGTGTCCATAAGGAGGGGTGCGGGATGGGGTGGAAAGGAAAGGGCAGGAGAGCACCAGCCCTCCTTGGGACTAGGTTTCTCTATATGAAAAAGAAATTGTGTTGCACTGCTGTGGGATTCCTGCGGACTGGAATTCTGTTCTCCCCAAAATCAAGACATTTTTGGGGCGGAGCATCCATGCATCTTCTCACTTAATCCTTGGTATCTACTTCTAGCAGATAAGGTTCCTAGAGGCTGTGCTCTACCTCAAGGTCATGCAAAGATCTGACTCAGGCATCTGACTCCAGACCTATTTGTCTCTACTTCACTGTATGTTAAAAAAATATATTTTATTGATTTTTACAGAGAGGAAGGGACAGGGATAGAGAGTTAGAAACATCAATCACCTACCTCCTGCACACCCCCCTCCTGCACAACTCCCTCTAGGCATGTGCCCACAACCAAGGTACATGACCCTGACCGGAATCGAACCCGGGACCCCTCAGTCCGCAGGCTGGCTCTCTATCCACTGAGCCAAACCGGTTAGGGCTACTTCGCTGTATTTTCTCATGGCTGAGGCCAGTGTGGTTCCCACCTGATTTACCCTTATTTCTCATACTCTATGATGGCTGCCTCCTGACACACTTTTTTGCCAGTGTTCAGGGCGGAGAAGTTTTGCTCCAAAACTTCAGAAGGACTCGACCTAATTGAGGAAGCATTAGTGCAGCCCGAGTGGCAGACCCCACTCTGGCATCGCCTTCCTGGTGGGGGTGTGCAGAAGGCAGCACAAAAAGAAAATTACTTTGACTATATTGTAGTTTGGTTATCAGAGTTTACCTGTCCATCAAGTTAGTTCTTTTAAAAAATATATATTTTATTGATTTTTCACAGAGAGGAAGAGAGAGGGACAGAGAGTTAGAAACATCAATGAGAGAATCATCGATCAGCTGCCTCTTGCACACCCCCTGCTGGCGATGTGCCTGCAACCTAGGTACATGCCCTTGACCGGAATCGAATCTGAGACCTTTCAGTCTGCAGGCTGACGCTCTATCCACTGAGCCAAACCGGTTTCGGCCATCAAGTTAGTTCTAAAGCCGGGGTGGGGAACCTTGGCTAAGGTCTTCTCTGGTCCCAAGAATGGCCCCTGCAAGATGCTGAAGGGCTGGCAGGCCTTTTAGGATGCTGCAAACAGGAGCCTCTGGTTACTTAGCATCACAAAAGGCCCAATGGAGTTGTTGATGGCGGGCTTCTTTGTGTCCTGCCTCATCCAGTGGCCCAGCACTGAGCTGTTAGGGAATCTCTACTGAACCCACAGAACTTGGTCCTTACCTTCCTGAGCTGGTTTGCGGGAGGAGGGGTATCAGTGACCTTTTGCAGCAAATAACTGCAGTGTCTTTGTCCATCTCTGACCCCAAACCGCCAGACCCTTCTCCTTTCTCTTTCCATACATACATGACATTTAAGTATAGTATTGAATGTGTGAATGAATATGTTTTAGGTTTCATTTCTACATTTTAAAGATTGGGTGAATATAAGCTGTTATAAGTCTCTTCCCCCTCCTCAACTCAGTATCATAGCTGTTTACTTATTTATAGCCTTCAAGTAATTTTCAAAAATATATCTTATTGATTTTTTTACAGAGAGGAAGGGAGAGGGATAGAGAGTTAGAAACATCAATGAGAGAGAAGCATCGATCAGCTGCCTCCTGCACACCCTCCCACCGGGGATGTACCTGCAACCAGTGCACATGCCCCTGTCCGGAATCGAACCTGGGACCCCTCAGTCTGCAGGCCGAGGCTCTATCCACTGAGCCACACCAGCCTGGGCCTTCAAGTAATTTTTAAAATTTCTTTCCTCTGTGCCTTGTGGCTATCAGACGAAACACTGATCTAGTGAAAGTGAGCTGAAGAAAAGCTCAACCCAGAAGAATTGTATGTCTAGACCACATGTGTCAAACACAAGGCCCGCGGGCCAAATCCATCCCGCCAGGCCTTGCAATGTGGCCCGCACTGCGCTGTCATCACTGCACTCCGCTGCGTTTCCATCACAATGACAGTTTATGACTGTTCAGTAAACCATTGGGCCCGCGATTTAGGCTGGATTTTAGATTTTGGCCCCTTCTCTGATTGAGTTCGACACCCCTAGTCTAGACTGTAGGAGTTTTAATTTTTGCAGAGCATGCTTGCCTGGATTTTTTAATTTTTTATTTGTCATTGTAACTTGCTCATCCTTCACTTTAAACAAATTATATATATATATATATATATATATATATATATAGTCCTTAGAGGGGAGGAGAGGGGGAAGAGAGAGAACAAGAGGGACAGAAACTTGGATTTGTTGTGCCACTGATTTATCCATTCACTGATTGCTTCTTTTATGTGCTCTGACCCAGGATCGAACCTGCAACCTTGGCATCGGGATGATGCGCTCATAACCAACTGAGCTACCCTGTGGGGCCTCATCCTTCACGCTTGAACTTTGAGTCTTGTTCCTTGAAACGCACCTAATTGTCGAACGCTTATTTTTGAGGTGGCGATGTCTCGGGAGACGGATGGGGAGCGTCAGCAGCCCCAAGGCCCCTCCTCCCAGCCCCATGGCTCCTCCTCCCAGCTCCATGGCCCCTCCTCCCAGTCCCATGGCCCCTCCTCCCAGCCCCATGGCCCCTCCTCCCAGTCCCAGAGCTCATCTGGGTCCTCCACCAGCACAGTAACGACGTCCAGCCAGTCCTCTCACTCCAGCTCTGGGACGCTGAGCTCCTTGGACACAGTGTCCACGCAGGAGCTGTATTCCATTCCTGAGGACCAGGAACCAGAGGAGCCAGTCCCTGCCCCTTGGGCTCGAGTGTGGGCCCTTCAGGACGGATTCTCCAATCTCGGTAAGACCCTCTGTTCTGTAGTGCAGTGTCACTGCTGTTCAGGAAAAGCAATGACAGGTGTTGGTGGCGGCAGAAAGCTCAAGACGCTGGCGGCTGTGGGGCCTGTACGAGTTGCTCCAGGATGACAGGAACCTGTGCTAAGACTTGAACTTGTGTCTTCTCCCCTGCACAAAGCTTCTACTCGCCTGATGCTGGGTGGGGTATTGGGACTATCTTTTGAAAGTTCAAAATAACCCTATGAGAGTCTTCATCCTGAACTCCATTTTGCAGAAGAACAAACTGAGGCCTAGAAAGAAGTTGATGAACTTGTTTGCAGTCATACAGTCAGGAGTTGGTAGGAGAATGATTTGAACCTACAGCATTTAGATTTTAGACCTCTGTTATTATTATTTTTTTTTCCAATACATTTTATTGATTTCTCACAGAGAGGAGGGGAGAGTGTCAGAAACATCGATGAGAGAGAAGCATCGATCAGCTGCCTCCTGCACCCCCTCCCTACTGAGGATGTGCCCACAACCAAGGTACATGCCCTTGACCGGAATCGAACCTGGGACCTTTCAGTCCGCAGGCCAATGCTCTGTCCACTGAGCCAAACTGGTTTCAGCTTATGAGCAGTTTTTAAAGGCGTTTGATAGATGACACTCCACACACCCCCCCTCCCCCGGGGTGTGCTTCTGTGTTGCAGAGTGTGTGAATGACAGCTACTGGTTCGGGAGGGACCGGAGCTGTGAGTACTGCTTTGATGAGCCCCTGCTGAAAAGCACGGACAAATACCGGACGTACAGCAAGAAGCACTTCCGGATTTTCAGGGTAGGTGACCCGGAGCTGCCTGTTTGGGAGAGCTGGTGACCTAATCCTCACTGTTGAAGCTTTAAAAAACAACAACCACTTGGAAGTAACACGTGCTCTGTCGTAGGAAATGGGGCCTAAAAACTCGTACATCGCATACATAGAAGACCACAGTGGGAACGGAACCTTTGTGAACAGAGAGCTGGTGGGGAAGGGAAGACGCCTTCCTTTGAGTAACAATTCGGAAATTGCACTGTCCGTCTGGAGTAACAAAGGTGAGCCATGATTTTGTGACTGTCGGGTGTTTTTTCCCCTCCTCCCCTATCAAAGGAAATTTGACATTGTGTTCTTTGCAGAAAGTGGTTTAGGTAAAAAAAAAAAAAAAAAAAAAAAAAGTATGCCGAAACCAGTGTGGCTCAGTGGATAGAGCGTCGGCCTGCGGACTGAAAGGTCCCAGGTTCAATTCCGGTCAAGGGCATGTAACTTGGTTGCGGGCACATCCCCAGTGCGGGGTGTGCAGGAGGAAGCTGATCGGTGTTTCTTTCTCATCGATGTTTTTAACTCTCTATCTCTCTCCCTTCTTCTCTGTAAAAAAATCAATAAAATATATTAAATAAATAAATAAATAAATAAAATGTTCGATCTTTAAAATAAAAAAAGAATTTCCAAACTCAAGGTATAAAAGTAGTATTTATGTATGGATTTTATGCACTACTGTGAGAAGGAGACACCATGTGTCTCCATTGAAGAATGACATTTGTCATCATTTTCCATGGGTTTCATGACATTCAAATAGTTTCTTTGGGGTTAGATAGTAAATGTAATTAAACAATTGCCTTATAGTCCACATGTTTACTAAAATTTAGGATCATTTTACCTTCTCTTTACCTAATGAATTAATGAGACCTATTTCTGCCCCTTTTTCCTTAGTTTTTGTATTTTTCGATCTGACTGTAGATGACCAATCAGTTTACCCCAAGGAATTAAGAGACCAATACATCATGTCAAAAACGCTTGGCAGGTAAATTTTCTTTTTCTTATGGAAATTGTACTTAATTTTTTTCTAAACATTTGTAGCTTAGAGAGAAGAAAGGAGGGAAAAACGGGGGGTGGGTGAGGAGAGAGAGAAGTATCAATGTGAGAGAGAAACATCAATCTGTTGCCTTCTGTACATTTCCCAACTGGGTATCAAACCCACAACCCAGGAATGTGCCCTGACCAGGAATCGAACCAGCAACCTTCTAGTGCACAGGGAGGTGCTCAACCATCTGAGCCACTCCAACCAGGCTTGTTCCTGGTTTTATAATATTCACTAGTGGTCCAGTGCACAAAATTTGATCATGGGGATCAGGGGAGGTGTCCCTCAGCCTGGTCTGTATCCTCCAATCTGGGACCCCTTGGTGGATGTCTGACTACTGGTTTTGCCCCATCCTTCTCACAATCCGGGACTGCTGGCTCCTAACTGCTTGCCTGCCTGCCTGATTGCCCCTAACCACTTCTACCTGCCAATGATCGCCCCCTAACTGCCCCCCTGCCAGCCTGATTGTCTCCTAACAGGTCCCAGGTTCGATTCCGGCCAAGGGCACATCTCCAGTGGTGGGTGTGCAGGAGGCAGCTGATCGATGTTTCTCTCTCATCGATATTTTTAACTATCTCTCTCCCTTTCTCTCTGTAAAAAAATCAATAAAATATATATATTAAAAAAAAGAAAGAGAGAAAAAAAAGACATATGTGGGACTCTTATTTTTTCCCTAAGGCAGGATTCCATACAAATCCTCTAACATGTGGCAGGTGACAGAAACTTCAGTGAGTCAGTGAAGACATTCATTGGCTCTTTTGGCCCTGGCCAGGTGGCTCAGTTGGTTAGAGCATTGTCTGGCCGGCTATACCAAGGTTGTGGGTTCAATCCCAGGTCAGGGTAACTACAAGCATCAGCCAAGGAATTGCATACATCAGTGGAACAGCAAATGGATGTTTCTCTCTCTCTTTCTCCCTTTCTCGCTCTCAAAGAAAGAAAGAAGGAAAGAAATTTATTGGCTCTTGTCGTTGGGAAATTCAGGGGCCCAGCTGACTTCAGTCATGGCTCGACCAGGAGGCCTTTGAGTTCTGATTGCCTCCTGGGCTTTGTCCGCGGCTAGATCTGAGGGCTCCCACCGTGTTGCCAGGGCTCCGGCTCCAGCCCTCGGTTCAGCGGCTCTTGGTGGCCCTCCTGTAGAACTGCTGTCTCCGTGTGGCAGGAAAAACGGCTTCCAGGGACTCCACATTCCTGTCTTCTTTCTTCCAGAAACCACAGCAGAGAGAACTGCTTCTCTCCCAGCATCGGCCTTTGATTCCAGGGCAAACCCCTGATTGGCTTAATTTTACATGTCGCCCCCTCCCCCCGCTCCCCCCCCTCCCTCCCATCGTGCTAGTAGTGCCTGTTTTACCATTGGAGACATCCCACAGGACTCAGGGAAGATTTCTCAGGCCAAAAGGGAACTGTTCGCTGCAGCGGAAGGCGAATTGGAAAAGGTCTTGAACATTTTCCAATATTTACTTACTTTGTTAATCCTCATCCAAGGAGATTTTACCATTGATGTTTAGAGAGTAGAAGGGAGTGACGGAGAGAGAGAGAGAAACAGAAACATCATATGTACACATATAATACGTTAATAAAAAGAAGAAAAGAAAGAAAGGAACATCAGTATGAGAGACGCATCAATAAGTTGCCTCAATGTAAGAAGTAAAATTATAAAACTGTGAGAAGAAATCAGGACCTTTGATTTGGCAGAGGTTATTGAAACATGGCACCAAAGCACTGGCAACAACAGAAAAAAGTAGATAAATTAGGCTTCATCAAACTTAAAAACGTTTTGTGCATCAAAAGACATTGTCAGGAGAGTGAAGGGCAGCTCACAGAATGAGGGAAAATATTGACAAATCATTTAAGGATCTTGCATCCAAAATAGAGACCTCTTAACGACTCAACAGCAAAAAGGTAACCCAATGTAAAAATGGGCAAAGAAATGAAATCGACGTTTCTCCAAAGGAGATACACAAATGAGCAAAAACACATGAGAGGATGTGTAGCATCACTAATCATGAGGGAAATGCAAACCCAAACCACAAGGAGATACCACTTCACACCCTAGGATGGCCGTCATAAAGGAACGCAACATAGTGTTTGCGTGAAATTGGGTGAAATGTGGTGAAATTGGGACCCCCCCCCATGCACTGCTGTGTGGGGGTGTAAAATGGTGCAGAAATAATGCGGGAAATAATTTGGTGGTTTCTCAAAATGTTAAGCAGAATTACCATATGACTCAGCAATTCCCTTTGTAGGTATATTCCCCCCGCGATTGAAAACAGGTGTTCAGACAAACACACATGCATGAATGTTCATTTCAGCTCTATTCTCCATAGCCAAAGGTGGAAACAACCCAAGTGTCCATCAACAAGGGAATGGGTAAATAAATGTGATATGTCCAAATAGTGAAATAATATCTTTATATCTATCTATCTAGTTAAAAGCCTAAGTGACTGTTATGACCGAACAGCAGACCAGTAGCTATGATGCATACTGACCACCAGGGGGCAGATGCTCAGTGCAGGAGCTGCCCCCTGGTAGTCAATATGCTCCTACAGCCAACCTCCCACGGCAGGCCAGCCTCTTTCGGTCCCTCCCCCTGGCCAGTCGGTCCCAATTGGGGCTGGGCAAGTTGGCCCCGATTGGCCCCGATTGGCCCCAATTGCAGGCCAGGCTGAGGGACCCCAGCTGTGCATGAATTTGTGCACTGGGCCTCTACTTTATTTATAAAAAGGAAACGAAATCCTGATACATGCTACATAGCATGGATGAACCTTGAAACATGCTAGGTGAAAGAAGCCAGTCACAAAAAGCTCCATATTGTACGATGTGATTGTTAATGAGATTTTCGAATTAGGCAACTTGATAGACAAAGAGCAGATCCGTAGTTGCCAGAGACTAGGGGCACGGTAGAATGAGAGAGTGAATCCATAGTACTGTGGGTTTCCATAGATAAGAGTGATGGTTGTACATTATAGATGTACTTAATGCCACTGAATTAATGCACTTTAAAATGATTCCAATGGTAAATGTTATGATCCTGTATAATAAAATAGGCTACGTATCTGACCGGTCGACCAGTCGCATGATGCGCACTGATCACCAGGGTGGGGAGGAGAAAGAGAGAGTGTGAGAGAGAGGGAGAGATCTGGTGCAGGGCTCATTCTAACGTTAGCATATGTGCCGCCGAAGCAAGCGCTGGACCGCCTTTCCCTTGTAATAGTTGAGGCCAGCTAGGGAGCGGTGGGTCTCCTGATGCAAACCAGCCCCTTCCTGTGTGTTTCCTGGCAGCGGGGCCTGCGGGGAGGTGAAGCTGGCCTTTGAGAGGAAGACCTGCAAGAAAGTCGCCATCAAGATCATCAGCAAAAGGAAGTTCGCTATTGGCTCCGAGAAAGACGTAGTAAGTACCCGTGCCTTTGGCTGCTCAGCGGTTCCCTCCCATTCTTTAATTTCCCAGAATCGTTACGGAATGGTCGTTTTCCACGTCAGGAAGAATTCACCGCCCGGAGATGTGAATCTGCATGGAAAGAACATGGAATGTGTCTGAGTGTATTCAACTACCCTAGAAACTTAGAATGATTTGGTTCCAAAAGATAGTTGCTTGTACATAACATCCTAGCCGGAAGTTGATTTTTTTTTTTTTTTTTTTACCTCCTTCTAAGTTGTCACAAGACTGTTTTTACAATAAATGAAAGGAAATGGGGGGAGAAGGGGGATCCAGCCATATCCCCACCACTGTAACTCCACAGCTGTTCTCAGTTTTCTTTTTCCTTTCCAGCCTTTGTTCATGTGAATTCGTGTTTTTAGATGGTTGAAATCACATTGTATATACAATTTCCTCTCCTGAAGGCATCAACTTTCCCCTAATACAATACATTCTTTTTGATGGTCAGACCTCAGCCACATCGGCTTTATCATCATGCATTCAACCATTTCTCCGGTTTAAATCATTTCTAATTCTTTGCTCTTCGCAGTCAATGTGGCAAATGCGTGTTTTTGCGTTTATAGATTTTTTACAAATCTTAATTAAATTATTTTCATCGTCTCTTTCTGTACCAGCCATTCATATGACGGGGTTACACTCTTACCGCCTGAGTGAAGTGGCCGAATGTATTATTGGTCTTTCAACACACGATTCCACCAAGTAATGTAAAATGGGATCCGAAATCACATTTCCTCTGTGGCCAGCTGTTTCTGGCCATTCTTCTTGAACATTCTTTCAAGATCGGTCTCTTCCCCCAACAATGCCATTCTCACGTAGCGAGAGGAATTTCCTTTCTGTGTTCACTTCGTTAGGAGAGCTTTTCCCCTGTGATTCGGGATTTGCTCCCCGCTTGTGGGAGAAAATACCTACCAGATTCTTAATGACTTGCAGCAAGATGTTCTTAATTTCATCTTTCAAATCGTCGTGAACTCTTTGAGACCTCCCAGTCAGCAGAGCACACCCTGGCTTGGTAATGAGTTTAACGGCTTACAGGAAGGGGCAGGCTCTCGAAATGAAACATCTGGGTTTCTCAGCCGAAGTCCGTTTTACATAAATATGTAACCCTATCTCCTCTGCGCCGGGGTGTGTGTGTGTGTGTGTGTGTGTGTGTGTGTAGCCCGTGAGGCTGAGTAACTTGATTCATCCTCTCGGGATGGTAGGGGAGAACGACTTCAGGATCCTGAACCTTCCTCTGGTTAAAAGTCTCCATAAATGTGTCAGCCGGCAGTGGAAACCGAAACCCGTGTCTGTTGTATTAGGAGATATTTTGACTTGATCGTTTCTTCCTATAGTTTAATAAAATAACATTTGGCCAGCGGTTGTGTTTTATAATTTTTTAATCACCGCAAACAATTCCACAGCTCATGGGACAAGCAGAATTTACCAGGTTAAGCACGGGAACAGTGGAAATACTTGTTTTTGGCTGTGGGCTTCCTTTCTCTGAGACTCAGTTGCTCCATCTGTAAAATGGGGATGATTATGGAAACCAGTTCGCTTGGGGGATTATGAGGCTTATGTGGCATTATCCTTTTCAAATGAAGAGCTTGGGATAAAGCCTGGTCATTTATTGAATGCTTCCTATTTGCCATGCACTTGACTAGTATAGAGTGATTTTAAGTGAGTTGTTTAAATGATTGATCCATGGGCCTTGATTTCTCTGGATGAGTAGAGATGGGTTTGGAACTCAGGCAGCTGTTACTCAACTAAGTTTAACTGTAAACATTTTTCTAAATATTGGCTATTATTATTATTAATAATAAACTCTAATGCTATTTTATTTATTAAAGGACCCAGCTCTCAATGTTGAAACAGAAATCGAAATTTTGAAAAAATTAAATCATGTAAGTACTTCTGTGAAATATGGCCCATTCTTAAAGTCATTTATCTCAAAATATGGGAGGAGTGCAAAGCATTTCAATATAATAAAGCTAGCATGAAACGTGAGTTCCTTAATTTTGTGTGTACGTGTGTGCGTGTGCATGCGTATGTGTGTTTAGTTGTCATTTAGCTGGAAAGAGCTTTACTCTGAACTTTAAAAAAAAACATATATTTTATTTATTTTTTACAGAGAGGAAGGGAGAGGGGTAGAGAGTTAGAAACATCTATGAGAGAGAAACATCGATCAGCTGCCTCCTGCACACACCCCCCTACTGGGGATGTGCCCACACCAAGGTACATGCCCTTGACCGGAATCGAACCTGGGACCTTTCAGTCCACAGGCTGATGCTCTATCCACTGAGCCAAACCAGTTCCAGCCTCTGCTGTTTTTAAATGATCCCTCGTTCTATGTAGTCAACTCTGTTATTTTTTAGACATACAGAATAGTCTCTTATCCTATAAATCAACGTTACTTTTTAGCTTAAATGAATAATAGGGAAAATAAGGTTAGCTGTCTAGTCATCTGACGTAAGGGGCTGAGACTACTCCCGGTAGTCATGTACTCAAGGCTATAAGCTGTCTGCAAAAATAACTTACACAAAGCTCTTTGTGAAGTCTGCGGAAGGTCCGGAACCCCCATATTTGGGAGACAAAGAACTGGAAGCATATAAATAGGGAGCATGTCCTCTATGTTTTTGCTCAGAAACCTGGGAGACAGCTCCCTCTGGGCCCGCTGGCGTGAATCAAGACCCCTAATGAACTGGCTTGTTAAGGCGTCCTGCTTGCTGATTTGCGATACCACAGTCTGCAATGAGGAGGGGATTGCGGGGAGGCCGGCCTGCCTTCCTCAGTGCCATCCTTACGTGAAACGTGAACCAGGCCGTTGCTAACGTGGTGGGGTGGCGAGTTCCTTGTACGTCCAGGTTAATTCTGTCCTGCCCTCTCCCCTGCGTGAACTTCAAAGTGTCCCAGTGCCTGCTCTTGGCCTCCCTGACTCTCTGAACTCAATATTCCGTAGGTTATGTTCATTAAGTACATTTCAACTTAAGAATGTTTTCAACTTAAGGTTTATCAGGATGTAACCCCGTCGTAAGTCAGGGAGCCCCTGTATTTCAGAGCACAGCGTTTTCGAGACTAATTCTGAGCTCACTTCGACGGATTTGTTAACGTTGGGTATTTAAACAAATGTACAACATGCTGAGCGTCTGCTCTTTTCCTCTGGGGAGCTTCTCACTGCGTTCCCTCTTCTCCCTCTACAGCCTTGTATCATCAAGATTAAAGACTTTTTTGATGCCGAGGATTTTTATATTGTTTTGGAATTGTAAGTAGGAAGCTTCTTCCTCTGTTTCCATTTCCGTGCTTATGGAAAGGCGAGTGCTGGCTTGCGTTTCTCGTCCTGGGGACCCGGGGCAGATGCGTGTGGTGGGAGGGGGGCCCCCCCCCCCCGCAAAGTGCTTGAGGGGTTTCCTTCCGATCCGAAACCCCTCCGAGTCCCAGGCCCCGGGTCCGAGGCCTGGGTCTGAGTCCCACTCTGCAGGGGACGAGCTGACTGCCCGCTGTTAGACCTCTCACATCAGTCGTTCTCCTGGTGTTAAATGGGGTGATCATGACACCCCATTTGATGAGAGAATCATTGATCGGCCGTCTCTGCACACCCCCAACTGGGGATGGAGCCCACAACCCGGGCGTGTGCCCTGACTGGGAATCAAGCCGTGACCTCCTGGTTCATAGGTCAGCACTCAACCACTGAGGCACACCAGCCGGAATCTTCTCTCTGTTTTAAGAGGCAGAAACAAGATCAGAGAGGTTATGCCCTGACCGGTTTGGCTCAGTGGATAGAGCGTCAGCCTGTGGACTGAAAGGTCCCAGGTTTGATTCCGGTCAAGAGCATGTACCTTGGTTGCGGGCACATCCCCAGTAGGGGGTGTGCAGGAGGCAGCTGATCGATGTTTCTCTCTCATTGGTGTTTCCAACTCTCTCTCCCTCTCTCCCTTCCTCTATGTAAAAATCAATAAAACATATTTTTTTAAAAATCAGAGAGTTTACATAATTTGCTCAAAGCGCCTCAGCTGGAAAGTTGTAGTGTTGGGCTTTAGTCCCCTGATGATCTGATTGTCTCCTCCTGCTTGCTGCTCTATGCCAGTCTCAGAATCTAACTGGGAGTGTGATTAAAACGCAAACTCCCGGGCCCTGCCTCAGATCCATGGAGTCAGATTAAAAAAAAAAAAAAAAAAATAAAAATATATATATATATATATATATATATATATATATATATATTATTGATTTTTTTTACAGCGAGGAAGGGAGAGGGATAGAGAGTTAGAAATATTGATCAGCTGCTTCCTGCACACTCCCCACTGGGTATGTGCCCACAACCAAGGTACATGCCCTTGACCTGAGTCGAACCCGGGACCCTTGAGTCCGCAGGCCGAGGCTCTATCCACTGAGCCAGACTGGTCAGGGCAGGAGTCAGATTTTGTAAAGCCCCCCAAGTGTCTGCACTGCCCACTGCACCCTCTTCCCAGCTTTCCTTGTCTCCTACTGTCCACTGGGGACATCCTCCTGCTGGAGGAGGCTGATTGCCTCATCGCCTTGACAACGGGAGTCAGGGGGAGTAAGAATGGCAGCCCCTGGCTTGTCTTGGGGAATTTGTTCTGCGTTGCCCACCCACGTGAGCCTCCCTCCGACGCTGTGCGGTGCGTGTGTTTCAGGATGGAAGGCGGCGAGCTGTTTGACAGGGTGGTGGGCAACCGGCGCCTGAGAGAAGCGACGTGCAAGCTGTACTTTTACCAGATGCTCCTGGCGGTGCAGGTGAGGAGCCGCGGAGCTGGTGTGTGTATGTGTGTGTGTGTCTCTACTCACACGCATACTCCTTACGTGAAGGACCATGCCTTCCTTTCTGTGCAGTACCTTCACGACAATGGCATCATACATCGGGACTTAAAGCCAGAGAATGTTCTACTCTCATCTCAAAGGGAGGACTGTCTGATAAAGGTAAGACGTGTGTGTTCTGTATGTGGCCTATCCAGTGGATTTCTGTCAAGAAGCTGTTAGGTTCATCAGGTAAAAAGTATGAGCATAAAAATGTTGGGAATTTGCCGAAACCGGTTTGGCTCAGCGGTAGAGCATCGGTCCCAGGTTCAATTCTGGTCAAGGGCATGTATGTTGGTTGCGGGCACATCCCCGGTAGGGGGTGTGTGAGAAGCAGTTGGTCGATGTTTCTCTCTCGTCGACGTTTCTAGCTCTCTATCTCTCTCCCTTCCTCTCTGTAAAAAAAAAATCAATAAAATATTGTATATTTAAAAAAAAATGTTGGGAATTTGATCTTTCCACTTTTAGCAGTTATTTTTACAGTCCAGTTGGTATTCATTTATTTTTTTAATTAAAAATCTATTTCTTTATTGATTTCAGAGAGGAAGGGAGAAGGAGAGAGAGATAGGAACATCAATGATGAGAATCATTGATCAGCTGCCTCCTGCACACCCCCTACTGGGGATCAAGCCCGCAACCCAGGCTTGTGTCCTTGGCAGGAATCGAACCTGGGACCCTTCAGTCCGCAGTCTGATGCGGGAATCGAACCTGGGACCCTTCAGTCCGCAGTCTGATGCTCTGTCCACTGGGCCAAGCCGGCTAGGGTGGTATTTATTGTTTTAATCCGGATTCTAATGAGCATTTGTGGAGCTCCACTGAGGGAGAGTGATCTAAAGGGAGGGTAAGTTACATACATCCCATCTTCTTCCCTCTGTCCGAGACAGTGCTGCTCAAGCCTGGCTTAGCTTTGGAATCTCTTAGTGAGAATAAGTACAATCATGTCGTCCAGGCTGCTCCTGTGGGTCTGTCTATAAAGGTGGCATCCAGAGATACATTTTTCCCCACCAAGTCCCTCAGCTGAGAAACCGGGGTCTACGAGGAACCATGCATAACTAATCAGAATCCTGGAGGTCTGCGATAGAAGTTATAAACCTTTTGTAAGGTTACAGAGAACACAGATACGCTGGCATAACGCCTGGGCCTTGGAGAGTTCTTGGCTCGGGAATTTTAATATAAGCAAAATGAAATAACTTGAAAAAGCTCCGAGCGGCCTTCGATTAGACACGAATTTGTAGATTCCAGATTAGCGGCAGACGTGAAGTGTAGGGCAGACACCCATCTGACCTGCCCGTCTTTGGGGACTGGCGGGCTCTCATTAAAACGGATTCCTGTTCCTTTGTCTTTGATTTTCAGATCACCGATTTCGGGCAGTCCAAGATCTTGGGGGAGACCTCTCTCATGAAAACCTTATGCGGCACCCCCACGTACTTGGCTCCTGAGGTTCTCAGTTCCCTCGGGACCGCCGGCTATAACCGAGCTGTGGACTGCTGGAGTTTAGGAGTCATTCTTTTCATTTGGTAAGAAACCGTGGCTTTCAGAGTCTGGTTGGAGTTCATTAGGTGAAATCAGAAACATGCCCAGGTAGAGGGCTTGTGTTTAATTTAGGTCACTTTTTTCTTTTTTCTTTTTTTATCCATTGATGTATAGAACAATCGCATTTTTCATTATGCTGGGGGGGGAAAAAAAGAAAGAAGTCTATCCGAATGGCACTGAGACTTCCACTTGGTTTCTTTTCCTTTCTCTCCCTGCCGCTACGCAGCCTCAGTGGGTACCCGCCTTTCTCTGAGCACAAGACTCAGGTGCCGCTGAAGGACCAGATCACCAGCGGGAAGTACCACTTCGTCCCTGAGGTCTGGGCAGAGGTCTCCGAGCAGGGTACGGACACGGATGGGTTACGAGGCAAACGTTTGCTCCCCTGTGTGTGAGCTGTGGTGGGAGCGTTCCTTCTCCAGTCCCATTATGTCTTCCTCTGCCGTCCATTCTGCCCTCACTTCCTGTTGCTTTTGCACCGCCGTGTGAGAGGCTGCGGGAGGTCTTATCAGACAGCTCTAGACTCTGGTCCTGGGTCTGCTCCTCCTAGCTGGGTGACCCTGGGCAAGTGGCTTCAACTCTCTGAGTCTCCATTTTCTTTACTTGTAAAGGGGACACAATCAACCCCTACCTTATAGGGTTTTTGTAAGGGTTAAATATAACATACACAAGTGCTGGGTGGATACCGATTTAAGTGTGCAAAAAAAAGTAACCCTTTATTTATTTATTTTTTAAGGTGACAATGGATTTATTTTATTTTTATTTTATTGATTTTAAAAAAATATATATTTTATTGATTTTTTTTTTTTACAGAGAGGAAGGGAGAGGGATAGAGAGTTAGAAACATCGATGAGAGAAACATCAGTCAGCTGCCTCCTGCACACCCCCCACTGGGGATGTGCCCACAATCGAGATACATGCCCTTGACTGGAATCGAACCCGGGACCCTTGAGTCCACAGGACGACGCTCTATCCGCTGAGCCAAACTAGTCAGGGCTATTTTATTGATTTTTTTACAGAGAGGTAGGGAGAGGCGTAGAGAGTTAGAAACAGCATTGAGAAAAGAAACATCCATCAGCTGCCTCCTGCACATCCCCTACCGGGGATGTGCCCGCAACCGAGGTACATGCCCTTGACCGGAATCGAACCTGGGACCCTTCAGTCCCTAAGCCAGATGCTCTATCCACAGAGCAACGCCGGCCAGGGCAACAAGTAATTTTTTAGTTACAAGGTTTCCTTTGAGTAAACAAGCACGGCAGAGTAAGTGTAACTACTAGTTCCTTTGTGTTTACAAATTTCACGGTGCAACTTTGGCATTCTCAAAAGAGAAAAGCGGAAAAGTGAAACGAAAGGACAGATAGCTGTAACATAGTTGCTTGTGTTAAATGTCAGTGTCTAAGGAGTAATGTTGTTGCAATGCACACGCCAGCATCCTCGCTGCCTGAGGAATCCTCACCATCCACCGGTGGGTCTCGGGGAGCGTGGGCTTGTATCCTGGGTGTCTTAGAACTGGGTGTGAGTTAAGGTGACCAGATGGTCCAGGTGTCGGCGGGACAGTCCTGATTTCTAACAATTTTCCCCGCGTCCCGCGGCGTTTTAAAAAAGTCCCGATTTTTGGAAAGACAGGAAACATTGGAAAGATTCTTTCCAAAAATCAGGACTTTTTTAAAACGCCGCGGGACGCGGGAAAAATTGTTAGAAATCAGGACTGTCCCGCCAGCACCTGGACCATCTGGTCACCTTAGTGTAAGTTCAGCTTTAATTACTTTGACCTTGAACCCGGCCATGAGAGAAGGAGCGGAGAGGGAAGAGGGGGAGATGCCTGAGCAGGGAGCCATGGTCCTTCCTGCTGTTCTCAGAGCACTCTGATGGGTACAGAGACTGAGGGAAGGTGAGGGAGCGTCAGGGGGCCCTGCCCACCACGCCTGCTGCCCCCTCCATGATCTCAGCCCCTTCTCTCTTCTTTCTGGACGCTGGCCTGGGATTCTGGCAAGTGGTTCATTTTGCTGACTCAGTGCATTTACCTTTCTCCCTGGGGCTCGCTGCTGCAGCGCTGGACCTCATCAAGAAGCTGTTGGTAGTGGATCCAAAGGCACGTTTTACGACGGAAGAGGCTTTGAAACACCCGTGGCTTCAGGTGGGTATGGGCGGTGCCGCCTCTTAGCACAAACCACGTGGGCAGCCCTGGACTGTGCCTCGGAGATGAGGAAGAGGAGGGAAACACAGCTGTTTGGGTCTGTGTCCTGCAGCTGTTGTAGATGAACCGTCAGGTGGGCGGGGTCTGAAGATAGGTGGGTGTGTCTTTGTGTGGTGTCTGGGTGCAATCTTTTTATTTTTTTATTTTATATTTTTTAAATATATTTTATTGATTTTTTCCCCATTTATTTATTTATTTATTTTAATATATTTTATTGATTTTTTTTTTGCCCCTCTCCCTCCCTCCCACACATCCCCTCCCTCCCCAGAGTTTTGTGTCCATTGGTTGTACTTATATGCATGTATAAAAGTCCTTCGGTTGATCTATTATCTCCCCCAGATCTTCCTCCCCTCCCCGCTGTAATTTGACAGTCTACTTGTTGATATACTGTCTCTATATCTATCTTTTGGTTCATCAGTTTATAATGCTCTTTATTATCCACAAATGAGTGAGGTCATGTGGTGTTTCTCTTTTATTGATTGGCTTATTTCATTCAGCATGATGTTCTCCAATTCCATCCAGGTTGCTGCAAATGATGAGAATTCCTTCTTTTTTATGGCAGCATAGTATTCCATTGTATAGATGTACCATAGTTTTTGGATCCAATCATCTGCTGACGGACACTTAGGCTGTTTCCAAATTCTGGCTATTGTAGATTGTGCTGCTATGAACATAGGGGTGCATATATCCTTTCTGATTGGTGTTTCTAGTTTCTTGGGATATATTCCTAGAAGTGGGCAATCTTTTTATTTTCATTTTATTTTATTTTTTAAAATATATTTTATTGCCGAAACCGGTTTGGCTCAGTGGATAGAGCGTCAGCCTGCAGACTGAAGGATCCCAGGTTTGATTCCGGTCAAGGGCATGTACCTTGGTTGCGGGCAAATCCCCAGTAGCGGGTGTGCAGGAGGCAGCTGATCGCTGTTTCTCTCATCGATGTTTCTAGCTTTCTATCCCTCTCCCTTTCTCTCTGTGAAAAAATCAATAAAATGTATATTTTTGAAAAAATATATATACATATATATATTTTATTGTTTTTTGTTTTTTGTTTTTTTTTTACAGAGAGGAAGGGAGACGGATAGAGAGTTAGAAACACCGATCAGCTGCCCCCTGCACACTCCCTACTGGGGATGTGCCCGCAACCAAGGTACATGCCCTTGACCGGAATCGAATCTGGGGACCTTTCAGTCTACAGGCCGACGCTCTACCCACTGAGCCACACCGGTTAGGGCTGGGGGCAATCTTTTTAAAGTTGGTGCGTGGCTCTTGTATGGAAAGCTCCCTTTATGGCCGGTCTTGGTTCCACTTGGCCTGTCGGGGCCGGCCGCTTGGCTGTGTGCCTGGGAGGAGCTGTTCTCATGCGGAATCTCATCCCCAGCTGTGCTCCCCTCCTCCCTCAGACCCTCCCCTCCAAACAGGTGGGATGGGCTGAGCTCCAGCCTCTTCCCCTTTAAATCACGGAGCAGGTGTTGGAGGGGAAGGGCAGCGTCCCCAGGGGGGAGGATCTAACTGTTTCTGAAGCCCAAGCGGTTGGATGGAAAGGACCCTGCTTGTCCGCGAAGAGGAAGCAGGTCTCTCGCGCAAGCCATCACCTGCGTCTCCCGAGTGCGCATTCCCTCTGCGGCCCCCGGGCGGGCGTGCAGCTGCCGTGAGGGTCCGCGCTGAGCTCATCCCAGCTGTAGGGGCTGGATGTCCTCTGTGGCTCCACTGGGGTCATCTTTTTTTTAAAAATATATTTTATTGATTTTTTACAGAGAGGAAGAGAGAGGGGTAGAGTTAGAAACATCGATGAGAGAGAAACATCGATCAACTGCCTCCTGCACACCCCCCTTTGGGATTGTGCCTGCGACCAAGGCACATGCCCTTGACCGGAATTGAACCCAGGACCCTTCAGTCTGCAGGCCGACGCTCTATCCACGGAGCCACTCCGGTCTGGGTTGCTGGGGTCATCTTTGGTGTAGGCCTCAGCTGCAGCTCTGGGCAGCCTTCTGATGGATGTCAGGTCTCCTGTGCAGGGCAGTTCCTCGCCCCTTTCTGGGAACCTGCACTTGGTCTCTCTGTTCCCCGTGGGGTGGAGATGGAACCATCCATCTCAGCACCGTTCTTCTGGGGTTCTGGGAAGATCGTCCCCAGGCTTCTCCTCTTCCAGCCCTCCACGCCTAGCAGGTTGGCTCTGGTCAGCTCAGCTCAGGTTGAGAGCAACACCTCCTTAAAAGAAAAAAAAAAAAAAAAAAAATATATATATATATATATATATATATATATATATATATATATATTATTGATTGTTTATAGAGAGGAAGGGAGAGGGATAGAGAGTTAGAAACATCGATGAGAGAGAATCATCGGTCAGCTGTCTCTTGCACACCCCCTACTGGGGATGTGCCCGCAACCAAGGTACATGCCCTTGACGGGAATCGAACCCGGGACCCTTCAGTCCGCAGGCTGACGCTCTATCCACTGAGCCAAACCGATTTTGGCTAAAATAAATTTTTAAAAAGTAGATATATGTGTTTGGGATGTTGACCTAGCAACAGCAGTTTCTTCTCCCCCCTGGTCCCCCCCCCCCCCCCCCCCCCGCCAGAAACCTGCCAGATGATTTAGTGCTTAACAGACCACACAGATCTGAAACCGCGGGCCCTGGGGAAAGGAGTTGGGAAACAGGCTGCCGTTGCCTGTGGGAGTTAAGTGGATGAGAAAGAAGCATGTCCTGGCTCTCTCGCCCTAGCAGGGAGGCTTGGGGCTCGATGTGGACGTAGAGGAGCCGTTTTAGGTCTTGAAAAAACATTTTTTTTTAATGGAGCTGCCCCGTTAGGCCCGGGGACGGGGTTTGCATCTCCCCCGGATGTAGGAACAAGAACAGCCTATTTTTCTTGCACTTTTTTTTTTTTTGTCAAAAAAGAAAACCGCTGTTAACAGCCAAGGCAGAGGCGAGGTTCAGCCTGACCCGGCCACAGGGGTCTCACTGGAGTCCTCTTTTGTCTGCATTTTGTTTTGGCAGCAAAAGGTGGAGTCAGCGTTGAATGAGGATAAGGATGCGGAGTGCCCACACCTGCTAGTGACCGTTGAGGTTTTGTGTTGAGAAAAGGCAGGGTTCTGGACGAAGCCAAGGGCTCTGGCCGGTCTGGCACTGGGCTGAGCACTGGGAATGGGAGTTCTGGTCTGTTTTGTCGGAGCACCCCTTCGATCCACTTTCTGCCTCACTTCCTGAAACAGGATTCCTTCCTGCCTGCCTCTGAGGCACCTTCCAGTTTGAATTAAAAAAAAAAAAAATCAATACATATATATTGATTTTGTACAGAGAGGAAGGGAGAGATAGAGAGTTAGAAATATCAGTGAGAGTCATCGATCAGCTGCCTCTTGCACACCCCCTACTGGGGATATGCCCGCAACCAAGGTACATGCCCTTGACCAGAATCGAACCCGGGACCTTTCAGTCCCCAAGCCGACACTCTATCCATTGAGCCAAACCGGTTTCGGCAAGTTTGAATAAAAAAAAATAAATAATGTATATATATACAATATATATATATATATATATATATATATATATATATATATATATATATATATTTAATTGATTTTTTACAGTGAGGAGAAGGGAGAGGGATAGTTAGAAACATTGATTGGCTGTCTCCTTCACACCCCTCCTGGGGATGTGCCCCCAATCAAAGTCCGTGCCCTTGACCAGGATCGAACCTGGGACCCTTCAGTCCACAGGCCGATGCTCTATCCACTGAGCCACACCAGCCAGGGCTTTCCTTTCTCATTAGACCCACGCTCTGGATATTGTGGGCGGGAGGTCCTCCTGGCGGTTGGCACAGCACTTGCTGGTGGGTTTCCCTAGGGTGCTGGGTGGGTTTGTTAGGGTGGCCCCAGGAACTGGCCGCACGTTGGCAGGGAGAGGGGGCCGGCGACCTCCTGGAAAGACTTCGTGGCTGCACGGAGTCAGCGCCAGCCTCCGGCCTCCTGCTTGCCATCTCAGGCAGGACCCGGACGCTGGTCCTGAAAGTCTTTGGCCTGCTTCGGTCTGTGGTTCTCTCTGACCCGCCAAGAGCGCTGAAGCATGTGGTTTTGATTCAGCCAGTGCTGATTGAGCGCTGCCTGCTGATTAGCCCACTCGGGGTGGGGGGTGGGGGTGGAGGAGCCAGGCGGTCCTCTCCCTCCCGGAGCTCCGGCAAGGGCCATGCCACTCAGCTGGTAGACCCGGCGCCTCTGCCCACTTCTCGGCTTCCGGGGGCTTCCTGGCCCCGTCCTCCGAGGAGCTGTCCCTCAGACGCAGGCTGCTTACGCTTTCCGTTTCTTTTCAGGATGAGGACATGAAGACGAAATTTCAAAATTTGCTTTTTGAAGAAAATACGTCAACGGCTCTACCCCAGTTCCCGGCCCAGGTATCCAGATGACGGTCGTTAAACGCAGGTTTAACGAGCCAGTGAGCAAGGATGATGAGTTTGAATAGTCTAATAACAATTGCTACACACACACACACACACACACACACACTTAGGAGTGATGTAGTAGATACTTTGTTTCGGCTTGACCTACTCCAGTATCCTTAGAAGATCTGATAATGAGCAGTAAGCGAGGGACTGTCGTGGAAGCAGTCTCCTGCCAGTCACGGGGAAAGACTCTGTTCGAGGCTCCATGAGAAATTAGTTGACCATTTAAAAATGTGGATGAGTGATGGGCGGTTTGTTGGTTATCCTTTTATTCCTCCATCGTTCTCTGTACGTGTAAGGCAGCGTTTCCCAAGCTTCTCTCATGACGAGAATCGCCTGGGGGAGTGGTTAAACTACAGATTCCTGAATCCCAACGGAGAAGTGCTAAACTAGAATTTTTGGGAACTTAGAGCACTAGTTAAGTGTACAGTTTTACCTATATGTTCCCCAAAATTCCAGTTTTAGCCCTTCTCCGTTGGGATTCAGGAATCTGTAGTTTAACCACTCCCCCTGGTGATTCTCGCCATGAGAGAAGCCTGGGAAACACTGGTGTAAGGTAACATCCATTCGTTCCTGCCCCACTTTCTTTTGGTGACCGACAGCACTCCTGTTCCCACTCTGCCCTTGCAATTCTGTAAACCGGAGAACAAAGACACACAAAAAGACTTGTCTTTCCATAAAATTGGGGCTCCCAGGGAAAGCGATCGCCATCTCTTTAAATTTCCTGATGTAGGAGAAGACCCAGAGGAGGCTGTGAGTGCTGCTTGCCATCAATATATGTCATTGAGCCCGGCCATTGTGGCTATTGATTGAGCATTGACCCACGTACTAGGAGGGATCAGTTTGAATTCTGGTCAGGGGTAGGTGCCGGGCTTGTTGGCTCCATCTCCAGCAGGGGGCGTGCAGGAGCAGCCGATCAATGATTCTTACTCATCATTGATGTTTCTCTCTCTCCCCCTCTCCCTTCCTCTCTGAAATCAGTAATGATGTATTTAAAATATATGTAAATATAAATCATTGAATGATCGGGAAGCCACCGGGAGAGAGCTGTCATTCTGATGAGCAGGTCTGAGTCCGGTGGAACGTGATGGGGACTCAGATGTCAGTGAGGAAAAGCAGTCGTTGTTGGAACTAGAGGTTTCACGTGGAAGCCTCCCAGTTTGCAGGGAGCAGAGTGGGAAACGCGGGGCCATCTTTAAACAGCCCGCGGTCTTCCTGGAACATCTCCCCCTCTTCCTCTCTTTCCAGCCTTCTACGAGTCGAAAGCGGCTCCGGGAAGGGGAGGCGGACGATGCTGGCACCACGAAGCGCCTGGCTGTCTGTGCTGCTGTCTCCTGAGCTCTTCCTCAATGGGCGAGAAAAGTACCTTCTTGAAGCCTGCTGCTCTTTTCTTTATGTTTGTTTGTTTGTTTGTTTTTAGACTTTAATTATGGGCGCAGCTGCTTTTCCAGAGGCGCCAGTGCACAATGAAAGACCTCATGGAGCCGGGGCTTCGTGCTTGATGGTCAAGCTCTGGCTGGATGATCAGCTTTTAGGTGCACGCCTTCGTGTGTGTGTGTGTGTGTGTGTGTGTGTGTGTGTGTGTGTGAGAAATCACGTGCTTTTTACCTGGAACTCTCCGTGGCTGTGGCCAGCCAGCCAGGTTCCTCAGGAAATGTCCTTGGTCTCAGCCTAGGGGAGGCGCATGCACATTCTGAAGGCTCTTCGGACAGCTGCAGGGAAGAGGGAGGGGCACTGCGAGGTCGGGGTGGAGTGTGGAGAGAGTGACTGGCTGCCACAGTCCTCCTGAGGTGGCAGGTAGCCTGGTGCAAACACCACGGGTCCATTTTATTTCGATTTTTTAATTTTTCCACCGGCCTATTTTAAATTCTCATCCTCACCCTCTATAGAATAAAGAGGCAGGTCCACAGTGACGCTCAGGGAAGTAAGCCGAAGAGCGTATGATTCCACTTAGCGGAGGTACCTAGAGGAGTCGGACTCTGAGACAAATTAGAATAGTGGTTGCCTGGAGCTGGGGGAAGGGCGGTGAGGAGGGGGGAGTTATTGTTTCATGGATGATAGAGTTTCTGTTTTGCAAGATGACGAGTTCTGGAGATGGATGGTGGTGCCGATTGTACAGCAATGTGAATACTTATTACCACTCAGCTGTGTACTTACAAAAAAAGGGTTAAGACGTTACATGTTACGTGTATTTGACCACAATAAACAAAGAAGGCCCCGGTTGGCGTGTTCAGTGTTTAAGCGTTGGAGGCAACCAGTTGATGTGTGTCTCTCTCACATCAATGCTTCTCTCTCTCCCCCCCCCCCCCCCCACACACACACACACTCTCTGCGTAAAGCAATGGGAAACTTATCCTCAGGTGGGGGGATTAACAACAAATAAACATAAGAGGGCCGCAGTTCTTGAAACCTCGGGGCCAGATAATTTGTAAAACTCAATATTTTCCTGATTTTAGGAAGGGGACATGGCACATTAACTTTATTATGTGTCATGCCCAGCACAGTCCTGTATCCAAGCATTAATATTCCTACAGCAGACATGCATAGCATGGGGCAGTGGTTGGCTCTCTGGCCCCGTGAGTGTGGCTCTTCCACAAAAATACCATGGCCTGAGTGAGTCTGTTTTGAAGAAGTGGCGTTAGAAGAAGTTTAAGTTTAAAAAATTTGGCTCTCCAAAGAAATTTCACTAATTGTACTGTTGATGTTTGGCTCTGTGGACTAATGAGGTTGCCAACCACTAGTAGGGGATCGAGAAGACTAAGGCATAGCTGTTCATTCTTTCCTGTCTAGAAATGCAGATCAGGCCTGTGAGTGTGTCCGGGTGACCCAGTAATGACCAAAGAGGCCCTATGTAAGGTGCCATGTCCAATTCTTACTTTTTTTGGAGGGGTCCCTCTCCCCCATGAAATCATGGGGCGGGGGGCGAGTGAGACGGTAAAGCTTAGTATCTTCCACTATGGAAGCTGAAGGTACTAGAGGCTCCTTCCCTGGTAGAGCTCTTCCCACTGGGCCACCCAGCTAGAGAGGATCACAGGACTTTGAAAACTGAGCAAATGGAAATGAAGCCAATGAATGACGTTTGCTTTCTGGAGCAATATTGTGCTAAGCTGAGCTTTCTGCTTTTCCTGACTTTGGCGTTAGGCAACTTTCTTCAAAATGGGTGCAATAAGGGTACCAACCTCAAGGTTCTCAACCCCGAGACTTTGGAGGGAACTTGTGGGGATCAACTGCTTTCCTGGTCCGATAGGAGGTAGGAGCTGCCTGGGATACTACGGGAGGAGAACTATGAGAGGGAAGCCTCAGAGGGAAGCGGAGCTGGGGTTGGAGAAAGACCAGGTACTGTTTGAGCACCTGGATCTAGCTATGCCCCTAATGAGGTACCACCCAGGACTTTTTAATACTCTCCTTTGTTTTACTTCAGGTTGAGGGTGTTTTTTTTTTTTTTTTTTTTTTTTTTTTTTTTTTTTTTTGTGTGTGTGTGTGTGTGTGTGTGTGTGTTTTGTCACTTGTATCTGGAAAAGGCCAGACTAATAAATCCAACCATTTATAAACTCCAGGAGACCCTTGTAAACTTTTTTTTTTTTTCTACCAGGGAAAACATTCTCTGCTTCTGTTTTGCTTTCTGCCAAGTTGAGGGTCTTCAGAGACGTTTGGGGCAGAGAATGCAAAACAAAGGTGTGGGAAGTAACGGACCTTCCAGCTCCCAGGTGGCGTTCACCCCTCGCAGCCAATTCTACCGCAGGGTTTGGGAACCCAGCCTTTTCATTAACCTTTTAGGAAGGACGGGGCCGGAGCTACACATTGGAGAGCCTGGCATGTGCCAGGCCTGGTGCTCAGGAGCACACACGCATCTCTTCTGGAAGCTCGTGTCAACTTGGCGAGATAGGACTGCCACTCCCCCCTTCGCAGATTTAGAAATCAAGGCTCTTCGAAACAAGTTTGGCTCAGTGGATAGAGCGTCGGCCTGCAGATCGAAAGGTCCCAGGTTCGATTCCGGTCAAGGGCATGTACTTTGGTTTCGGGGACATCTCCAGTGGGGGGTGTGCAGGAGGCAGCTGATCTATATCTCTCATCGATGTTTCTAACTCTCTTATCCCTCTACTTTTGTCTCTAAAAAATTAATAAAATATATTTAAAAAAATCAAGGCTCTCTGGCTCAGTCAAGTGTCCTATTCCAGTTCCCCCAGTCTGTAACAGGTGGAGGCAATACTGGAACCGAGTGGTTTTTAGCCGGTAAACAAACAAACCTACTTGAGAGGTCTTGACATCTGATTATACCACCTGGCACCTCTGAGGCCCGGTGTTGACACTTCTATCTCGATTATTTCTTGAGTCCTCCCGTCATGCCTTCGTGGTCCGACCTTCCTCATCAAGGAGAAACAGACCCGGATTCCTGACCTTATTCATCACGCGAAGATGAGTGGAGATGCGGGACTGTCACTCAGGGTCTCCCCAGACACCAGGGCTTTCCCTGTGCCGCTTGCTCGTCGTGCACGTGCTTGCACCCTTCCACTCCGGGGATCTCAGCAGAGACATCCTTCGTCCGGCCCTTCGCGGGGGACCAGACCCTCGCCCCAAGCCCTGTGCACCGGGGGGCAGCAAAGGGAGCAGTGCCTGCAAGGAGCCTAGGCATCCGGCCTGGGGTGGTCCGCTGTGCGGCAGGCGGCGGCGCTCAACTCAGAACAGCCGGCCGGGTGCGGAGGGGGTGGGCGCGGCGCCGGGAACAGCGGGCCGGCTCAGGGGCGCGAGGCGGGGCTCGCGGGGAGGGGGGCGCGGCGCGTGCGCGGCGGCGGCGGTGGGCTTCGCGGCGGCGCGCGTGCGCGTGCGCGGGGAGGGGGCTGGCGGGGGGCGGCCGCGGCGGCGGCGCGCGGCACGGCGGGAACATGGCGCGCGGAGCCGGCGCGCGCTCCTAGCTGGCGGGACCGTTAGCTCGAGGCGGGCGGACGCGGCCCGGGCCCCCGCGGGGATGGAGCAGTCGCCGCCGCCGGCGCTCGAGCCAACCCCGGGGCCGACCCCGGCGCGGGGCCGGAGGCGGCGGGAGCCGGAGTCGCCGCCGGCGCCGGTGAGTGCGTGAGGGGCGCGGGCCGGAGACTTTCTTTGTGAAAACTCCGTCGGTGGGAGCCCGGCCGGGCCTCGGCGGCTGACGAGCGCCCGCGAGGCGGAACCCGGCCCCCCCGGACGGGTTCGATCCCCGCCTGGCACCCTCGGGCGGCGGGGACCGGCCTGTCGTCCGTCCGCCTCAGTTTTCGCGGGAGTCCGTGCGCGCGCGCCGGGGGCCGGGGGAGCGCGGTATACAGTCGGCGCCTAATGCGCGCGGCGGCGTCTCCGCCTGCCCCCCGCGCTTTTGGGGGCGGCGGGCCCCCAAACGCAGCCCGCCCATCGGGGAGGCGGGCGGCAGCCGCTGGGAGACAGGTGTCGGCGCGGTCGCGGGAGGCTCAGGTGCAGGCAGCCCCGGGGGGCGGGGAGGGGTCCCGGGAAGGAACAAGCCTGTCGGTGGCTTAGGGCACAGCGGTTCGGGGATGCTTCCCTTCCGCCCCAGCTTCGGGGTGTGTTGGGGCATCGGTCTGGGCGAAGGATGCTCAGTGACATTGACTTTGGAGGTGTGGCATCTTGCTGGATGGGGAGGGATGGCCCCAGCCTTGGGTTCGCCAACACAGCCGGGGGGTATCGGAGCGATTGATGAAAATACGAGACTCAGCCGAAACCGGTTTGGCTCAATGGATAGAGCATCGGCTTGGGGACTGAAAGGTCCCGGGTTCGATTCCGGTCAAGGGCATGTACCTTGGTTGCGGGCATATCCTCAGTAGGGGGTGTGCAAGAGGCAGCTGATCGATGACTCTCTCTCATCGATGTTTCTAACTCTCTATCTCTCTTCCTTCCTCTCTGTACAAAATCAATAAAATATATTACAAAAAAAAAAAAAGAAAAAGAAAAGAAAATACGAGACTCAGCGCAGGCCCGAGGTCTCTCCAAGGCTGAGAAGCAGATTTTGACTTTTAAACAAGCTGCCAAGTTGTCCTCATCGGGCTCCTTTGACAAGCACTGGCTTGCTGTGAGCAGAGACACCTGTTCAGCTGATGGGTCACCGGGGTGGCATCCCGGTACCAGGTGCAGTGCCTGGCACCTGGGAGATGCTCAGTAAATACTTGTAGCAAGACTAAAAGGACTTAGAGAGTTTCCAAAAATAGTTTCTTGAGACATGTTGAGGTTAATGGCTGTCAAGGTTACTGTATAATGTGACTTATATCAGGTAGAAACATAATTTTTGGGACTGTTTATAACGCCTTGTTTTAAGTAGGTTGTAAACAAAGCAGGGCATACATATAAGCCGTCAACTATGAGGACCCTGGCTAGGTTAACACTAATTTTGAAATAGAATTCTGAATAATAATAATAATAAAAAGCATGGTTCTTTCTCTCCATCACTTGGGAACACTAGGCTTGTAAGGATTTTGTTTTCTTTGAGGCAGGTAAACATTTACATTTTCATCAAAGCAAATCTGAATGACTGTTTATTCAGAACAGTTGGAAATTTGCTTAAACCTCGGAGTATTTGTCCTCTGGATGTGATATTTTGAAACTGAGACTTATGTTTAGTTCAGAGTCGGTGCTAAAATAGAATTGTTTGAGTGAAAGTGATTTGCTGTTTCAGGGGCTGTTTTTTCATGTTTTTAGCATTTCAGTAGTTGATTTCATTTCATTAGTTTATTTTTGTTCACTGACAAACTATGAATGTATAGGATGACAAGACTTTAGGAGTTGAGATTGCATCCGAATAGTATTGAAAATTAGGTTTTTTATTGTCTCAGTGTGTCATTTTTGTAGTTCCTTTGGATGTTATTTTTCTATTTTTAAAATTGAGTTATAATTGAAGATAACATTAGTTTCAGGTGTACAACATAATCATTTGATGGTTTTATATATATTATAAAAAGATCACCACAGTAAGTCTAGTAAACGTCACCACACATAGTTACATATTTTTTTCCTGTGTTGAGAACTTTTAAGATATATTCTCTTAACTACCTTATATATAATACAGTTACCATGTGGTACATCACATCCCCATCACTGACTTTAAAAAAAAAAGAAGTGTCTTTAAAAAACTTAGCTTTCTTGAGATGTAATTCACTTACAATAAGATTAATCTCCTACTGTACAATTCCTAGTTTATGGTACACTCACTATGTGTCCAACATCACCATTATCTACTTCTAGC